CCCCAAAACCCCAAAACCCCAAAACCCCAAAACCCCTTTGAACTGCTTAAAAAGTGAGACGAATAAAAGTAATTAATTATTTTATAAAGTACAACGTAAGTGACAAATTACTTTAAAAACTCCCAAATGAGCCTTTAAATCCCTTGATTTGCTCTTTCGAGATAATTCCTGACCGTTGTTTTAGAATGCCAAGAAGATCAGCTAAGTCTATCAGCCAAGGTTATCTAAAGAGATGGAAGACTTTTAATGAGAAGGAACTCCTAGAATCTTATTTCAAGCTAGACAGAAACTGGAGTAGGAAGACCATTAATTACGTGAAGGACCTCGTGAACCTCAGTGAAGAACAGATTTACAAATGGGGATATGAAAGAAAAAGAAAGGTCAAGATTTCAGCCCAGAAAGTTAAGATACCCACATCCGCACACATAACGAGAAACAATCAAAGCCTTTTTGGCCAAGCTCTTGATTACAACGAAATTGTCTCTGATCTCTTCCCTGGTGGCGAGTGGAATAGCGATAAGCTTACCAAAGAGGAGAAGAGCAAATACGACCAGCTTAAGAGAAGTATGATGAAGAAAGACGCCTCTATTAAGAGAATGAGTGAGTTAGACCAAATCCTTCATGAAAGACTCCCATCTGACAATTTGGTTTCTAAGAATAAAACCAAATCAAGAAGGAAGACATCCCTTGATGAGCACTCTACATTCATGGAAGGAGTGATCAAAGAAGAAGAGGCCAGAAAAAGTGCTGACGATGCTAACCTTGCTCGTTCCCACTTAGAAGATTCCAAAATTTCCTTAAACAATTCAAAACCCCAAGTTCCAAAATTTGACCCAAAGCCTTTTGATTTTCTATTCCCAACGAAGGAGAATCTTAACTTTGGAGATCTTCCAGCTGGGCTGTTCCAAGACTGTCTTTTTCTCAGAGAGGACGGCCTAGATGGGGAGTTTTAGATCTACCAATACCCAGATCTTTTTACTAATCACTAATCCTTACTAATAATAAACTTGAATTAAATGAATTCTTTAAAATTTCTGATTCCTCAAAAGAGACTTATCAAGAGACTTTATATGGCAAAATAATAGAGATTAGGGGTTCCCAGACCAGAAAAGACCACTGATGACCAACTTTTATATAGCGTTGGATTTCCAGGCTGGATGGGCTGTGGTTAGTAGAGGTGATCATTAATGAAGGGCAAAATTATAGCTGATGTATGGAAATAGCCTAGCAAAATATTGATGAGATCGTAGAGATTTCTTTCTTAAGGTGTCCCAAGGTGTCTTAGATTCGGAAAATTCTACCCTTTGAGCCTAAACGTACATAAGAGTAAATTTCACCATAATCTGGAGTTTTTATAAAACTTGGAAAATGATCATGAAGGTCCATCTTTGAAGAAGATTAAAATTAAATGAAAGAGTCCAACGCCTTGACTAAATTAAAAATTAGCCTACTCGAGCATAAAACTGTTATGAACTTCTAGACACTCCTAGTCTTTCTAAGGCCATCTCAATAAGATATCTCTTAGGGTTTTGTCAGCCGAGTTCCATGAGTTTAAATTGTGGGTGATCGGTGCTAGTGTACCCAGAAATCCTTCCTTTGAGGCTCGTATAGCTCCAAAATTCTTCAAAAAGAAGTCTCTATTGTTGAACAATTAGGCTAAATAAAATTTTGATAAAATTAAGATATTGAGTATTTATAATAAGAACAATAGCTTAAATTAGTGATAGAAGTGCCTTATAGCCTCTCTAATGCCTTCGTAATCTGCTGTGTTGAAGATATGGTCGGTTCTGCTAAAACCCACAAAATAATGTAAATCAGCTGACTAGAAAGAATTTCTGTTAACCATAACAAACTTTTGGAGGAATACCTATACTAACCCACTGAAATAATTTTAACGAAGGATGCTTATCATACAATGACTCATAGAAGGATGCTCTCTTGTTAGCCTGATTAAAACCTTATGTACGCTTAAGCTATTTTCAGTGTGAATTTTGTTCTTTTAAAATAAATTGGCCAATTAAATTCTCATTCAAAAACTTTCTATGGATAAGATAAGGCTTTGGTGTGGGATAAGCTGAAATTGCTTGCGGTGGAGTCTCTGATTGATATATAAGAGAGGAGTCTGGGTTCATCTACTGTTATTTACATTATACTAATCAATAGGTCTAATTTCATAAAATTATTGTGAATGATTCATTATCTTAAAGAGTCAATAGACTCTAACAACATTGGGGTTTTGGGGTTTTGGGGTTTTGGGGTTTTGGGG